TAATAAAACATTGTTGAATGAAATTGTAAAAGACACAAAATAAGTGGAAAGACATCCTACATTCATAAACTGGAATACTTAACATGGTTAAAATTACAATATTACCCAAAGTGATCTACAGATTCAATGCAATCTCTATCAAATAACTCAATGACATTTTTTTGGAGAGATTTTTTGTTTTTGTTTTTGTTTTGTTTTGTTTTGTTTTTGTTTTTGTTGTTTTGTTTTGTTCTGTTTTCACTATAGGGCGCGTGCGCTCGCCAAACAGACAGAGAGAGACAGAGAGACAGAAAGCGAGAAATCACCCCCCCTGGGGGGATGGCCATGCCGCAATCCCTTCTCCTCCATTCTCCTCTTGGGATCCTGGGCACGCATGCACACACGCCTGGTGTGAGTTTAAGCCACCAGGTCCGGGACTCGAACCACGGTCGACTACGTGGGAGTCCAGCGACATAGCCATTACGCGAAATGCTGGTCCCCAACCAATGACATTTTTTTTGCAGAAATGGAAAAACCTATCCTAAAATTTTTATGAAATCTCAAGAAACCCGAAGCAGAAAAAAAAAAAAAATCTTGAAAAAGAAGAAAAAAGTAGAGAACTCACACTTCCTATTTTCAACTTATGACAAAGCTACAGTAATTTAAACAGAGTGATACTGGCATATGGACATATGTATAGGTCAATGGAATAGAACAGAGAGCCTAGAAATATTCTATTCATATATATAGTAAAATGATTTTTGACAAGGATGCCAAGGCCATCCCATCAATGGGAAAAAGACTTTCAACAAAGGGTGTTGGTAAAATTGAGTATCCACATCCAAAATAATTAAGTTGGATCCTTACATTACACTATATACAAAAATTACCTCAAAATGGATCACAGACCTAAATGTAAGTGTTAAGACCATCAAATTCTTAAGAGAACACATAGAGGAAATTTATATGGCATTGATTTGATGATTAGTTATTGGATATTATACCAAAAACACAAGCAACAAAATAAAAAAAAAATAACTTTCTCTCAAAATCAAAAACTTGTGCATCAATGAATACTATCATGAGAATAAAAAGATAACCCGCAAAATAGGATAATATATTTGCAAATTATATATCTGATAAGGGATTAGTATCCAAAATACATAAAGAACCATTACAACTCAACTAAAAATATATTTTTTATTTTTAAAATTTATTTATTTGTTTTACATTCACTGAACATCACAGAAAAAATTATTTTTTTAAATGGACTATGAGGGAATGGGCAGTAGACGGCATGGTGGTTAAGGTGCTGGATTCCCACATGGTGGACAGTGGTTTGAGTCCCAGACCCAGTAGCTTGAAAATCAAGTCAGGCATGTATGTATGCATGCATAAACTCCCAGGAGATGAATGGAGGAGAAGGGAATGTGGCATGGTCATCCTCCCTGGGGGGTGATTTCACATTTTTTCTCTCTCTCTCTCTGGTGAGCACATGAGCCCTGTAACAAAATTAAAACAAAACAATAACAAAAAAAGGACAATGAGTATAAACAAACATTTCTGCAAATATGATATACCAATAGCTAGTGAATACATGAAAGCTGTTCAATATAGGGGCCAGCAGATGGCATGGTGGTTAAGGTGCTCCCACAAGACCTACTGCAGTTGAGTGAGACCTAGACCCTGCAGCTTACTTTCCCACTTTCTCTTTCTCTCTCTCTCACAAACACAATGTGTAATCATTTTATAGCCATTAAGTTTACTGTTACCAATTAACCAGAAAATAACAACTGTTGGGTCCAGCAGGTGGTGTGGTGGTTAAGGCACTGGACACTTCCACATGGCTGACCATGGTTTGAGTCCTGGACCTGGCAGCTTGCTTACTCACTTTCTCTTTCTCTCTCTCTGGTCAAATTAAAATAAAATAAATGAAAAAATAAAATTTAAAAATTAAAATAATTCTTTAAAAAAAACAACTGTTAGTGAAGATGTGGAGAGATTCAAACTCTTATGCATTTCTGGTAGCATGAAAAATGGTGAGCTGCTGTGAAAAACACTATGACAATTTCTCAAAAAGATAAACAGACTAACCATATGATCCAGCAAATCTACTTCTAAGTGCATAGCCAAAACAATTTTTTTTGAGGGGGGAGCTGTTTGTTTGTTTTCAGATTTTTGCCATAGAGCATTTATGTTCACCAGGGAGAGAGAAAAATAGAGACAGAGAGACAGTGAAAGGGAAAATAAGAAATTACCCCCCACAGGAGATGGCCACACTGCAATCCTTTCTCCTCCATTCTCCTCTTGGGATTTGTGCATGCAAGAACATGAACCCAGCATGATTTTCAAGCTGCCAGGTCCAGGACCCGAGCCATGGTCGGCCATGTGGGAGTTCAGCACCTTAACCACCTGGTCACCTGCTGGACCCTAGACAAAAGAATTACAAAGAAGTTGCTCAGACAAATACTTGCATACCAATAGTCATAACTGTATTTTTCTCAATAGCCAAAGATGGAAATAATCTAACTATCCATCAACAGATAAATAGATAAACAAAATGTAGAATATACGTACACTAGTATTCAGCCTTAAATGGGAATGAAATTCTGTTACATGGATGAACCTTGAAAATACTGTGCTCAGTGAAGCAAGCCAAATGAGAAAGGGCAAATATTGTACAATTCTATATAAATAAGATACTTAGAATAGGCAAATATATAAAAATAGAAAATAGAAGTTACCAGGGGCAGAGGGAGGAGGGAGCATGAGCACAGAGTTTCTGTTTGAAATAACAAAAAAGTTCTGCAGACAGATAGTGATAATGGCTACGCATATTGTATATATAGTTAATGCCACTGATGGGTACTTAAAAATAGTTAAAATGCTGTTTTATGTTATGATATTTTGACACAATTAAAAGACTTTTTAATTGCCAGAGTGCACCGGTACCTCCTAGAGAGAGAAACAGAGGAGAAAACATACTCCAGTGACGTGTGGTCATGCCCCAATCCCTTCTCCTCCATTTCTCCATCCTGTAGGGATTTTGTGTAGGCAGGCACACGTGCCCAGCATGTTTTATAAGCCTCTGGGGCTGGGATTCAACTATAGTTGGCCATGTGGGACTTGGCTCCCTCCACCACTAAACCACAGGACCAACCCTAAAAAGACTCATTTTAATTCTACGTTTCTAGTAATGTTCCAGGTGCTACCTATGCTGCTGGACTTGGGACCATGCTGAGTACTAAGACTGCAATAGAGAGGAAAAAATAAAATACATGAGTTTCTGGGGAAAAGGGAACCTTTTGATTCTTCTAAACTAGAAGCTGGCACATCATATACGCTTTTTACTTATTTTTCTAAATTAAATTCATGAAAAAATAGATACTTGTAATCCAATAGTGTAACTAAGATTTATATTATAAGGCAGAATGCACCACTGAACACAATATGGATCTGAGCGAAGAACAAAAGGAAATCAGAAGAGGTGATTATTTTCAGGGAGCAATAACAAAGTAATAAAATTAATGCCTTGTATAAAGTATTGTTGTGCAAAAGTGCCATTGACTTATTAAAGGCATTTATTTTGCCTATTAAGTCAATAGCTACTAATTCAGCTAAGTAACTAAAAAGACTGAACAATAGAAAACTACATATACAGACGCCACAGGTCTTCTAAAAGAGCACTGATTTGGTTCAGTGAGTTTTCTGTTCTTACCTTGCTTCCCAAGTGCAGTATGACATGAAGAACGCAGTGTGCTTCACCTGGAAATTCATCAGTTTTGTAATCAGATTTCACAGCGCAATCAGATAAGAAGCTTGATAAAGCACTTAGTTATTTGTTGAGAAAAGAAACCACACATGATTTTAGTGTACCTGAACACATCATGCACTTACCAAGGTGAGCTCTAATTATTTTGATTTCTTTTTTATAAATGTATGAGTTTTATTACAGAACTTAAATTTTTTAAGTGAAAATTACTAATGTTTGTCAAACATTATCTTACTTTTCTATTTTACTACTTTTCTCTCATGTATATCAAATTATTGGAGATGTTGGAAAGTCAGTATTGCAGCTATAAATATCTTCTATACAACGTTATAACCCTTAACTTCTGAAAAAGAATAAATTAATGGATGACTGTATTTGTATCATGCCTTCCTTCTTCGCACTAAAAACATTTCTAACCCTTTGAAACTCCTTCCTTCTTAGAGAAGCTTATTATTTAAGAATTCGCTAGCTTTCATATACTTAGGTACTATTTGATTAATTACTAATTCACTCTAGAGTGTAAATCCATCTCTTTATAATCATCTCAGTATAGGGTAATATGCTCAAATGGCCTAACAAATGAGAGTGAGTCATAAACATCTCTATACATTAGTAATGAAATAATTAACATAATTATGATCTAAAACAAGCTAAGACCTCAAATTATCATCCAAAGGAAGAATGTATTATGCTTAATATAGTTTTAATGATGAGTACATTTTCAAAACATTCTAATTTAACAAACCTTAATATATAAATATGAAAGCTCTAATATCTTATATTTGATCAACTAGAAATTCCTATTCCCTCAAACTGCTGCCTAACAGGAACTACTGCATTGGGTTTTTTACAGAAAAAGAAAACTAAGCATAAGGTAAATTAAAGTTTCTCATCAACTGCAACCAAACCAATGGTAGGACAGGAATAAAGGCCAATGTCCTGACAAACCGTACATTTTCCAAGTAATCCAACTTTCCTTTTAAGTCAATCCTAAAATTTTCATTAACTCCTATTCTAAGCCCAGAATGAAGCAAAGAAGTTATAAATTTCATCAAAAAATATAAATGTATGAACTACTTATTGGGAAACTTCAGTTGAGTTTGCAGGCTGGACAGTGTAAAAATTTGAGCAGCTTGTCTTTTTGGAAGCATTTAGGGATGGAAAAAATGCTTTATATTGATTAAGTGATCAAATTTCTCATACTCATACATTTGTTAATATGTTATCTCAGAATATAATTGTAAATAAGATGGCAAATTCGGAAAGGGCTGAAGGGAATGCAAAAAAATTATCAGAGAAATGAGTAAGCACTACCTAAATTCTACGAGAGTATTACTCTTTGTAGGTTGTGGTTAAGGTGGCTGAATTTTATGTGACCAATTACATGGTTTGAGTCCCGGACCCAGCAGTTTTAAAAATACACTGTGTGTGTGTGTGTGTGTGTGTGTGTGTGTGTGTGTACATGCCCAAAATCCCAAAAGGAGAAATGGAGAAGAGATTGTGACAAGACCATACCCCATGAGGGGGGTGGGGTGAGGAGGTGCTTTCTCACTACCTGACCTCTCACAAGTGCACGCACCCGCTGGCAAAAATTGAAGAATAAATAAAATAAAAGCTTCGAATATAACATTTTCACAGCTGTAGTAAAAATGTTTATGATTGGGCCAGCAGGTGGCATGAAGGTTAAGGTGCTGGACTCTCACATTGCCATCTACGGTTCAAGTCTTGGACCTGGTGGCTTGCTTTTTCGCTTTTCCTCTTTCTCTCTGTCTCTCTCTGGTGAGCACATGTGCCCTGTAGCAAATTTTTTAAAAAAATAAGAAGAATAAATAAAATTAAATATTTTTAAAAATGTTTATTTTCTTCAAAAATAACATAGTAATTGCATTTTACTGAGCTTCAACATAATTACTAATGGTTTTATGGTGACTTTGGTAAGTATAATAGCTATAAGATTTATTGATTAATGCTTCAGGTATCTCCTCTTCTGCATCTTACCTGTTAGAGGAAAGATGCCTGTCAATTTTCATTTCAACTTCCTATTGATCCTTTATTTCATGTGGTATTGTCGAATAAAAGATTTTTATTTTTTTTTACTTAATAGAGATCTATGTGCATATATATGTTACACAATTTTCTATATCTATAACTCTTCAATTTAGAGGTTGAAAATGGAAATGGAGTCTGTGACCCATAACATTTCAGCCAACAAACTAACCACTGACAGTAGTTCCATGAGGTTATATCACACGACCTAGGTATGTAATAGACCATATCATCTAGGATTGCGGAAGTACACTCTGTGATGTTCCCACAGTGACAAAGTCACTCAACAGTGCATTTTCCTGAACATACCCCCATTGTGAAGTGATGCATGACTGTAGTCTAAATCTATTTTATTTTTACCTTTACCATAATAATAGTGTTATATTTGGATATGTACTCTCTAAAACTGGAAAAGATCCCTCTAGGTCACGTGACTCATTAACGCAGAAAATAACCAGAAAGGGGCTTCCTCCATACCAGCTTCTTACGGATCAGAACACCTCTAGTAGGAACTTCTTGAGGCTGAAGCAAACTCCTCTCAGGAACATTTCTTTTTCAGTTTTATTGTTTTATTTTTTTAATTATTTTATATTATTTTGGGACCAGCAGTTAGCGTAATGGCTATGTGACTGGACTCCCATGTAGTCAACCACGGTTTGCGTCCTGGACCCAGTGACCCAGTGACTTAAAACTCACACCGGGCGCGTGTGCATGTGTGCCCAAGATCCTGAGAGGAGAATGGAGGAGAAGGGATTGTGGTGTGGCCATCCCCCCGGGGGGTTATGTCTCACTTTCTATCTCTCTGCCTGGCTCTGTCTGTCTGGCAAGCAGACACACCCTATAGCAAAAACCTCTTAAAATTGTTTTATATTATTTTTAATTGACAAATACACACACACACACACACACATACACACACATTTATGTATATATTTTTATGGGGTACAATGTAATGATTATATGGCTGCTTTGGGTCCCACTGATTTGTTTGAACAAAACTCAAGTATTGGACCACCAGTATCTCTAAGATCCTCTTTGGCTTGCAAACCCTCACAAAGCACACTAGGCCAAGAGCTGCCATGGCCTGGTGGGTTGCCTAGATAGCTTTGACATCAGTCTCCCATGGGTGCCTCAGGCTCCAACCCCTGGCACTGCCTGGCAACACCATTCTGACAGGACATGGCCCAAGAACAGAGTAGGGCAAAGAGACCCCAAGTATGCTCATTGGCTCACAACTTCCTCTGTATCCTACAGGATGGTAGAAAAGAGACTTTTAAAGACAACACAAGTCCTCAAAGGTTTTCTATGAAAGTCTATGAGAGATAGTAATGCTTTCCCTGAAATATTAAGCTTCAAATCCACATTTAAGGATGAGATAAGAAGCTGTGGGGCTTTACAGTCTTCAAGCAATTTTTGTCATCTATGCCCCATCCCAGAACAAACTGGTGCATACATAAGTAAATATTAACCTTATGTGCAATGAAATTAAGTGATTTATGGTCTATTAAAGCTGACAAAACAAGATGTTATAAACCATACAGAAGAGTCAGAAGTTTGTTATCATGTGGCATCTTTATTAAAAAAACTTAAATTCCTGTCTTCCTTCAGTGTTTCATAATCTTGTGTGTATGTGGCTGTTTAATTGACAGATTTTTGTGAAATCAATTAATAAAATTTTCAACTTTCATTTGGATCTCCTTGAAACGTGGGCGAGGAAATTAAATTTTCAAAGGGGACAAAATCCAGAATACAGTTGTTTAATGTGTAATCAAATTCATTTCATTTACAACTCACAGTTGCTCAGGGCCAGCAGGAAGCATCGTGGTTAAGGTGCTAGAGTCCCATGTGGCCAACCGCTGTTGAAGTCCCACCCCCAGTGGCTTAAAACTCACACAAGGCATGTGTGTGTGTGTGTGTGTGTGTGTGTGTGTGTGTGCACGCACGTGCGCCCCAAATCCTGAGAGGAGAATGGAGAAGAGATTACAGTATGGCCATACCCCGGGGGTAAGGGTTATGTATCACTTTCTGTCTCTCTGTCGTAGAGAGACACTCCAGCAAGCACATACACCCTGTAGCAAAAATCTCTCTCAAAAAAAAAAAAAAATCACAGCTGCTCTTGAGTATTTTTTTACAAAAGGTTAAAATTTTTAATTCCCCACTTCATGCCCACGAGGATGGCTACTATCAAGATAGGAAACCATTTAAGTGGCTGGTAAAAATATAGAGAAGTTAAAACCCTTGTGCACTTTTGGTGTTAATGTAAAATTGGGCAACAGCTATGGTAAACAGTATAGTGGTTCTTCAAAAAATTAAAAATAGAGTTTCCATATTATCAAGGAATTCCACTTCTGGACATATATCCCAAAAAAATGACAGCAGGGAGCCAAATAGAATGTACACCTACATTCGCAAAAGCATTATTTAACAAGAGCTGAAATATGCATGCTATCCATATCATGCTCAGTAAATAATTCAAGAATAAACCTTGAAGACATGAAGCCAGTCACCAAAGGACAAATATTGTATGACTACCCTTAAATCATGTACCTAGAGTAGTCAGATTCATAAAGACAGAAAGTAGAATGGTGGTTGCCAGAGGCTGGGAAGAGGCACAGGGGAGATTTTTAATGGGTACAAAGTTTCTATGGATGAATGGCGGTGATGATAGGACAATGTGTGTACTTCCTGTCCTGAACTGAACACTTAAGAATGGTTAAATAGTGGGGCCAGCAAGTGGCGTAGTGTTTAAGGCAGTGGACTCACACATTGCCAACTGCTATTCCGGTCTCAGACCTGGCAGCTTGAAGCTCACACGTGTGCATATGTGCCCCAGATCCCAGGAGGAGAATGGAGGAGAAGGGGCTGCAGTGTGGTCATCTCTCCTGGGTTGTGATTTCTCACTTTCCCTCTCATTGTCTCTCACTGTCTCTCTCCAGCCAACATAGGCACCCTATGACAAAAACCTTAAAAAAAATAAATAAATAAGGTTAAAAGGTAGTCTGGGGCCAGCAGCTAACGTGGTAGTTGAGACACGGGATTCCCACATGGCCAACTATGGTTCAATCCCAGACCTGGTGACTTTCTTTCTCTCTTTCTCTCATGAGCACACATACCATATAGCAAATTTAAAAATGACAATAATAATAATAATAGTATATTAAATAATTCTTCAAAAGAAAAAAAGGTAGCCTATGTGTATTCTAAAAAAAGGTAAAGTCTATGTGTATTCTACCACAATTTATTTAAATTCTACTTTAGACACATATCTTCAGTTACTACCATAAAAAACTTAAGGGATACCCAGGAACAACTTACTGTCTCAGTGATTATGCTAAAAATAGTTTCACTGTCTATCATTAAGTGTATTTTTTAAAATTCAGGGTATCAATTTGCTACCAAGATTATAATGGACACTTCAGCAAAATTTAATTGGAAGAGTTTACTAATTCTATTCAGATTGTAATTTTTTTCATTTTAAACGTTTATTCTCCAGAACACTACAAGAACAACTGCCTAAAGTGAGAAAGCAAGCTGTTGGACCTATTGAGATAGTAAGTGAAATCAGAAAATATGGGTATCAGAACATTTTAAGAAATGTCAGTAAGTGCTCACTTTGGCAGCATATATATTAACCCTGGAACAGTACAGAAAAAGATTAGCATTTTTAAAATGTCAGTAATACATACAATGATTGTGTTTGTTTCATAATTTACATCCATTATTTGGAGGACAGAGAATTTTTTAAAATTCATCAAACTGTCCATTTCTAATAGGAAAAAAGCATAAGTATTCCAAAACCCCACAATGAGGGATAAAGAAAAAAAAATTAGCAAAACATCCATATAACGATTTCAATTAAAAAAAAATGTGTGTGTGAGACACATAAAAGTTGCTGGAAGTTATTTCTGAGTAATGGGAAATTATGAATGACATTTCCTACCTATATTTCAGTATTTTCCAATGATTCTACATTGGTAAGAACAGCTGTTATTATTTTTAAGATGTTACAAATACTGGGACCAGCAGTTAGTGTTAATGGCTATGTTGCTGGACTCCCATGTAGTTGACTGCCATTCGAGTCCCGGACCCAGTGGTTTAAACTCACGCCAGGCACATGTATGTGCGTGCCCAAGATCCCGAGAGGAGAATGGAGGAGAAGGGATTGTGGTGTGGCCATCCCCCCTGGGGGGGGGGATTTCTCACTTTCTATCTCTGTCTCTCTCTGTCTTTCCGGCAAGCGCACATGCCCTATAGCAAAAACCTCTCTAGAAAAAAAAAAGTCACAAATCCTTTCTCATAAAAAAAAATTATCTAGGGACCAGCAGTTAGCGTAATGGCTATGTCGCTGGACTCCCACGTAGATAACTGCAGTTCGCGTACCAGACCCGGTGGCTTAAAACTCACGCTGGGTGCGTGTGCATGCATGCCCAAGATCCCAAGAGGAGAACGGAGGAGAAGGGATTGCAGCGTGGCCATCCCCCCGGGGGGAGATTTCTCACTTTCTGTCTCTCTGTCTCTCTCTTGTTGGCCAAAGCTGTGGGCTGGTGTGAGTCTGTTTCTTGGCATAATGCTACTGTGCTGTTTCCCTCAGTTCCGCTTTGCTGATGAGCTGGACATTACACTGATGGCCCTGGGAATACTGGCATCATTGGTAAATGGAACCTGCCTTCCTTTCATGTCACTGGTCTTAGGAGAAATGAGTGATAACCTTATTAGTGGCTGTCTAGTCCAAACCAACACCAGTGAGTATAAGACGTACTTTTCTGTATTGCTGGGGATGCAAAAGTATTAAATAAATAAATAAAAACATTAACTTATAATGCATATTATTATATGGTGAAACAAGAGTTATGTAATATGTACTTTAGTCATACATTCTTACATTCTGCTAGATAACAAAGAATCAAAATCTGTCATTAGCCAAGGTTCTACAGAGATAGACTAACAGGATGTGTGTGTGTGTGTGTGTGTGTGTGTGTGTGTGTGTGTATGTGTGTGTGTACACTGAGAGAGAGAGTTTTTTGAGAGATTTTTGTTATAAGAAGTGTGCACTCACTGGAGGGACACACAGAGAGAGACAGAAAGCAATAAATCACCCCCCATGGGGGATGGTCATGCTACAATCACTTCTCCTTCATTCATGAGAGAGATTTTAAGAAACTGTCTTATAAAATATGGAACTGAATTCCAACATATACATAGTAGACCAACAAGCTGGAGATCCAAAAGAGTACCAATGTTACAGTTTAGGTCCAAAGATGGTTTGTTGATGGTACATAGGAATCATCCAAGGAGCTGACCTCATAGCTCAGTGGTTAAGGAAGCTAGAATCCACATGGCTGACCATGAATAGAATCCCAGTCCCAGTAGCTGGATAAACACACCATGCACATTTGTATTCACACCCACAATCTTGACTACATGGTGAAAGGAGGGAAAAGAATGTGGTACTACCACATCCCATTGGGGATTGGTCTCTTTCTTTCTCTCTCTCTTTCTGGCTCCCTTATTTTATGGCCAGAGTGTACCTTCTGGCAATTAAAAAAAAAAAAATCATGAGACCCACCATAGTCAGCTTGTTTCTCTAGGAATTCAAATAATATTCTATCAGAAGTGGTGATTACTTCAGGATTTAAACAAAAGTTTGGACCATTCAAGGAGACTTATCTGTAATGCACCCTTTATGAAGAAGACATCAAAAACAGCTAACTTCTTGGGACCAGCAGTTAGCATAATGGCTATGTCACTGAACTCCCATGAAGTCAACCACAGTTCAAGTCCCGGATCTGGTGGCTTAAACTCACACTGGGTGCTTGTGCGTGCATGCCCAAGATCCTGAGAGGAGAACGGAGAAGGGATTGCAGCATGGCCATCCCCCCGGGGGGAGATTTCTCACTTTCTGTCTCTCTGTCTCTCTCTGTCTCTCTGGCGAGCACACGCACCCTGTAGCAAAAAACTCTCCAAAAATAAAAAAAAAAAATTTAAAAAAAAGGCTAACTTCTTTGGCTTACTAGCTACTTTGAGTTTAATAGTCACATATACACATGGCACAACAGAACATAATACAACAAGGAAGCAGAAATAAAAAAGACAAAAATTATAGCACCGGAGTCAAATCCTGAAATTAAGAAGAGAAATATAGCAATTGAGTGTGCAAAAAAAGTGTTTTTATATCACTCATATTACTCATTTACATTACACCCTTCATACATCCTTTGTGGTGTCCTATTTCAGGGTGATGTCCTTCAAGGCAACATTATTATTGAGATGTAAATCCCAGTTACTCTTCCATGTAATGACTTATTTTTTTAAATCTGGGAATATTATCAATATTAATAATTCCTCGATTTTACATTTTTTTCCCCTAAATTCCACACTAGGAAGTAACCCTATAGCTGTTTATTTTAACAAATGATTCATTAAAACCTGTACTGTCCTTTAGGCTCTAGTGTGCCTTTGTACAGTATGCCAGCTCTGTGCCTTCTATGACTTTAAATCTTAATTTATAGCTTCTCCAAGTTTTATACCTAAAGGCTGATCTTTTAAGTTTGAATGAAATAAATCCATTGCTTCTATCAATGTTCTTTCATACAACGATCGCATCTCTAAACTGTTACAAAGTTTTTTATATTTTAATGATATAAGCTAAATTAAAGATATAAACTAAATTAAAATTTTGTATTTCAATAAAATAAATTAACTGCTGTTAAACAAATAGATTCAACAATTCATTGACTATTTACTGATTGCTAAGTCTCCGAATAAATGATAAACCCGGGAACCTAAGGCAGTCTGCTTGGCAGGATTTCTTTCATTAGCTCTGTTCTGCAGCTGTCATACTTACCTGCTCTAGACAGGCCAGGCAGTGCACATCTGATTGATACTGCTATAAATCCTTATTTTTGTTTTTCTTCAAGGTTTCTTTAGTTTTTCAAATTTAATGGCATATTTTATAAAATGTAGTGAACATATAAAGAGATTTAATATGGAAATAGATAAGTTAATGGATATTATTGATACATTATGACATATTAAAGAGAAGTAGGGATATCAAAGACTGAATCTCCAACTTATTAAGAAAGAAGCATTATTTGCTCCTACAAATAAAAACATGAGTAATAACTATCATTGACTGGGGGCCATTTTTGTGCCTGAATTAAACTTTTACACATACTATCTCTATTAGTATGATAATATGCTATTTTGATATGATTATAGGTGCCATTTTGAAACTATGTATATTGTCATTATTAGCTCAATTAAATTTCTTTAAAATTTTCTACCTTCACTTCTACCATTTCTGTTTTGACATTTTTAAAATAAGCTGCTTCAAATTTTCTTCCTACCACAATTCCAGAAATAGAATAAAGAGAAAATGATTATTGCATATAAATACCACAGATATTCTCATATGTGATGATATAATAGCTATGTAAGAGTTTAATTCATTTCAAACATTTATTACAATACTTACCTGGCAGGGGAAACACCATGATCCCGAAGGTGGTTTTCCCAGGGCGAGGCTAACCCATTGCACTGCGGGTGTGCTGACCTCTGAGATTTCCCCAAATGCGGGAAACTCGGCTGCATAATTTGTGGTAGTGGGGGACTGCATGCGTGGTCTCCCCTGAAAAAAAAAAAGAAGAAAAAGAAAAAAATATTTATTACAGAGCTTTAAGGAAGAGACTTTTGATAGTAGATACTGACCATGGTTTTGTGCTGTTGATAAAATCAGGACCTTGTTATATTAATTAATTATGTATGATATAATTTTTACTAGAAGATAAATAGGAAAGTAAATTGTAACCTAAGGCTTATTTTAAACACTGTTTCATTATGTTGCTATCTGCATTATACGCAACCTACTTTAATGAGCTTCCTTTCAGTTTTTCCCATGACTACTTCTAGAACTTTAACATGTGTTCTTGCTTTTCTTAGACTTTCTAAATTATTCCCTAGGAAATTCAAGAAATTCTAAATACTTCAACTCAAGCAGGAAAAGAGAATTCTATTACTATTACTTTCCTGATTATTGACCCATCAGAGGTATCTTAAAGAATTTCTTCCAGATATGAGCTACATGGTTAATGTTTTCTTGTATTTTGTCACATTGCATGAATACTTTTTGAACACAGAGACTGCTATTTCAAGCTCTACAAAAGATTAACGAATAGAAAATAAGATGATCATAAGTCTTTGTGTAGGCACTAAGTCCATTTTCTTAAGAATGCAGTATATTTGGTTTTCAAAGGACCAGCTATGAAACAATATGGCCAATTACAAATGTTTCCTTTATAATTTATAAAACTTTCTTTTTTACAGCAAATTATAGGAACTGTACTCAGTCTCAAGAGAAGCTGAATAAAGATATTATTGTGTAAGTACACATGAAGTGCTAATATCACATTCATTGCATATTGCTTTATTCAACACAAGAAAAAAATTGAAAAATTTAACTGATTATTAATATTAGGTTATCAGAAAAGTCATGACATATTATTACATGTTTTTCTATGTAAAAAAAATGTGTCATGACTTTTCTGAAGAACCAACAGTATATACATAATTAATTCAAATATGTTCTCTTCCTTTATTAGCTATATAAAATAAGTACATATTTTTTTCTATCTGAAAGGTGTTTAATCATATGTTTTCAGTTGTATTTGACAAAATTATCATCAATAGGAAAATTGTGAGTTTTAGGGTTTCTTTTTTTTTTTTTAGGTTTTTGCCATAGGGCATGTGCACTTGGCCTCGAGAGATGGAGAGAGACAGTGAGAGGGAAAGTGAGAGATCACTCCCTTCTAAGCAGAAATGACCACAACTCCTCTGCCTCCTGGGATTTAGGTCATACACACACATGCACGAGGTATGACTTTCAAGTCACCGGGTCTGGAACTTGAAACATGATCAGCCATCTGCGAGTCCAGCATCTTAACCACCATACCACCTGCTGGCCCCAGGATTTGTATTTTTTTTTTTTTTTTTTTTGGAGAGGTTTTTGCTATAGGGCACCTGCGCTCACCAGAAACACAGAGAGAGACAGAGAGACAGAAAGAGAGAAATCACCCCCCAGGGGGGATGGCCATGCCACAATCCCTTCTCCTCCATTGTCCTATTGGGATCTTGGGCACACACGCACGCACACGCGCCTAGCGTGAGTTTAAGCCACCAGGTCTGGGACTCAAACCTCAGTCAGCTACATGGGAGTTCAGCAACATAGCCATTATGCTAACTGCTGGTCCCAGGATTTGTATTTTTATAAAAATTTTACCTCCTGTAACTGAAGATACATAACCTGAAGGAGAAAAAAATTGTTTTTCCCTTGTTTTTAGAATTATTTAATTTTATTTATCATCATTATTATTAATTTGCTATAGGACATGTGCACTCATCAGAGAGAGAAGGAAAGTGAGAAAGCAAGCTGCCAGGTCTGGGACCTGAACAATGGTCAGATATGTGGGAGGCCAGAGCTCCAATCACCATGCCAGCTGCTGGATCCTCATTTTTCCTTCTTTAAATAATTACTTTCAGGCCAGGCAGTGGTGTACAGGTGGCTCCATCTTCAATGGAGATGCACCTCTCTCTCTTTCCCCCAATAAATAAACAAATTCTTAAAATATTTTTAAAATTATTAACTTTTAGGACCAGCAGGTAGTGTGGTGGTTAAGGCAATGGACATTCCCACATAGCCCAAGTTCGAGTCCCAGACCTGGTGGCTTGCTTTCTCACTTTCCTTCTCTCTATGTCTCTCTCTGGTCAAATTAAAATAATGAATAAATGAATAAATAAAAGTTAAATAATTCTTTAAAGGAATTAACTTCCTCTGAGCTTGTAGGTAAAATTATTTCTAGAAATACTACAAATAAAAAAAGATTTGTGTAACAAATAAATAGTAAAAATATTGAAATAATTTTAAAATAAAATTAGTAAGGGGCCAGTGTAGTACAGTGGTAATGCAACTGGGTCAACATGAGGTTTCAGGTTCCTGTCCTGAGGCCTCCCTGTATATGCTGATACATTCACATTCCCATGATCCAGGCTGGCTGAAACCTGGGGTGGATCACAGCATGAGGACTCTCCCATGGGAGAAATAAACTTAAAAGCTGTATCCAAACAAAATTATAAGGTCTAAAAAATATATAACTTATAAAGATATTCTGATTTTTGTAATTTTATATATTAAACATTGTACTTTATCTTCTCGTGAAATAAATTGATTAGAGAAATGCTACATTATTGAGTATATTCACTCGATGTCTACAGTCTGACCAAAACTATCAGAGACTTTGCTATGGGCTTAATTTATCACTTTTTTCCACCAAAAGTAAAGTGCCCCCATTGCACAACTCCAAAGTTAACCCAGCACATTGCAACAAAACGCCTAGCTTCAAGGCCCTCTTTTATTTTTTTATTTAGTATGGGCCAGAAATTGAAACCAAGTCTCCCATGTGGCCTCAGCCTGCCAAGCAGCAGTGTCCAGTGCACTATCCTGGCTGGGCCTGGGCTTTAATTCTTAATCTGCATTGTCCAATACATTAGTCACAGCCATTTGTGGCCATAAATCTGAGTAAATTTTAAATTCTATTAAATTAAATAGAATTAAAAATTTAGTTCCATAATCTCAGCCACAAGTCAGGTCCTTGACAGCCACATTTGATTGGCTGTTGTACTATTATATAGCACAGATATTGAACGTTTTCTTCAACACAGAAAGCTCTATTGGACAGTGCTATTTTGAATTCAATGTGAACAATGCCTCCTCCGACTGTTTTTCTGCAGCCTCCCCAACTTTCTTTGAGGAAAAGTTCTTTCTTGACAACTATTATGTAAAATTGATTTCTATTGAATCTTTTTAATACATACATACATACAAGTATTTATTTGTTTGTTTGTTTGTTTGTCATGATTTTCAAGCCTCCCGGCACAAGACTCAAACCATAGTCGGCCATGTGGGAATCAAGCACCTTAACCACCAGGCCACCCGCTAGTCCAAATATATTGAATTTTTTGAAAATTCCCAGTTAGGATCCACAGTAGTGTCTTCTACTGGTCTTACACTATTAAAACAGGGTTCTGATGTATAATAATGAAGTATAAATTTCTTACAAATAAGTTTAGAAATTCTCAAAACTGGAGCATCCATTTTTAAAAAACAGATAGTAAAAGGAAGAATAAAATGAAAAGATATGCATATGTCCAGTTATTAAAAGACCAATGAATTTATAAGGAAACCTTCTAAATGTTTCTAATGTATTACTCATTATGCTATTGTTTCTAAAACCAATGTTCTATTTGGAAAATATCTAAGATACATGATAAAAAAAGATTCCGTAGTCAAATTGGTTTGGAAAATCTGTATATGACAGTCTCCTATCAGATACACACATGAACATAACAAAGGGTCCACTTAAATAACTTTACTTAATCCAAGTTTCCCAAACCTATTGGACTGTAAAGTCTGATTTCTTTAAAGAATTATTTTATTTAACTTTATTTATTTTAATTTGACCAGAGAGAGAGAGAGAGAAAGCAAGCTGCCAGGTCCAGGACTCGAACTGTGGTTGGCCATGTGGGATTCCAGCATCCTTAACCATCATGCCATCTGCTGGCCCCGTAAAACCTAATTTTTTTTGAGACTCCCGAAATATTCAGAAAATAAGCCATTTTAAAGCTGAGGTTTCTCCTGGCCTGTTCTGGGAAGCTATGTTCTAAACTCCATCTTCTAGACTCCCAAAATATTCATACAAGTGGACGAGGAATTTTGTCACAGAACAACAAGAAACCACTGCAGAGGCACAAGAAACATGAGAAACCAAGACAATATCTCTCCCCTAAAGGAAAAGAGCAAGCCCTCATCATCCACAGACAGTACGGCAGAACTTACGGAAATGTCTGATAGAGAATTCAGAATATTCATAGTGACAAAACTAAACAAAATGCAAGAGCTGAGAGACAATGAATTCCAGAAAATGCAGGAGAAAAGATGGGGACCAGCAGTTAGCGTAATGGCTATGTCGCTGGACTCCCACGTAGTCGACCGTGGTTCGCGTCCCGGACCCGGTGGCTTAAAACTCACGCCGTGTGCGTGCGTGCGTGTGTGCCCAAGATCCCAAGAGGAGAATGGAGGAGAAGGGATTGCGGCGTGACCATCCCCCCGGGGGGTGATTTCTCGCTTTCTGTCTCTATATCTCTCTCTGTCTGGCGAGCGCACATGCCCTATAGCGAAAAAACCTCTCCAAAAAAAAAATGCAGGAGAAAAGAGACGAGATTCAGGAAGTGTTGAAGTTCTTCCATGATCTGAAAGAGGAAATACACACCATAAAAAAGAATCAAATGGAGCTATTAGAGATGAAATATGCCATTCAAGAAATGAAAACCTCCCTCAAAAGTATTAAAAGCAGGGACTGGCATATGGCGTGATGGTTTAGGTGCTGGACTCCCACATGGCCGACCGTGGTTCAAGTCCTGGACCTGGCGGCTTGCTTTCTCACTCACTCTCTCTCTCTCTCTCTCTCTCTCATCAAATTGAATAATAATAAAAAATAAAATTAAATAAATAATTCTTTTTAAGAAAAGTATTAAAAGCAGATCAGTCCATGCAAAAAATCAAATCTCAGATGTTGAAGGCAAGCCCTCTGATCTAGAAAGAACAACCAAAAATAACTGAGAAAATACCCCCCCCCAATGAAAATACTATATGAGAAATACTAGACAACATTAAACGCCCAAACATCCAGATATTCGGTATCCTAGAAGGTGAGGAAACTAAAAATGGCATTGATAATTTATCCCATGAAATCTTGGAAGAAGCTTTTCTAAATCTAGAGAGGCATTCAAATATCCACACTCAAGACATACAAAGAACCCAAGAAGATCTTCCCCAAGTCACAACATATAGCCAGACTGGCCAAATCTACAAAGACAAGATACTACAATTTGCAAGAGAGAAAGGTCAGGTTACTTATACAGGTTATCCAATCAGGTTACCCTCTGATCTCTCATCATAAACAATGCAAGCAAGGAAAGAATGGAAAAATATATTCAAAGTGTGAAGTGAAAAACAGTTTCAACCAAAAATACTCAACTCGGCAAGATTATCCTTCATATGGAAAGAAAGGATAAAAAATTCTCAGATAAACAAGACCTGAAAGAATTTGCCAATAGCAGACCCACTCTTCAAGAGGTTCTGAAAGGAGCACTCTACCAGGAAAACTAAAGACACATACAGAAATAAGAGAACAAAAGGCAACCAAGAAAATGACCAATTGAATGTTAGGGGCAAGAAATATCAGTAACAACATTGAATGCTAACTTCCAGGATTTAAACGGAAAGATTGGACCACAGTAACACAGCATATTCAATAGAAGAGAGTT